ACACACACACAGACACGTCTCTCATACACATAGACACACACGCACAGGCACACACAGACACAGTCTCTCTCTCTCACACACACACACGTCTCTCTCACACACACAGACACAGTCTCTCTCACACACACACACACAGACACGTCTCACACACACAGACACGTCTCTCACACACAGACACGTCTCTCTCTTACACATACACACATACAGGCACACACAGACACAGTCTCTCTCTCACACACACAGACACAACTCACACACACAGACACACACACAGACACGTCTCTCATACACATAGACACACACAGGCACACACAGACACAGTCTCTCTCTCATACACACGTCTCACACACACAGACACACACAGACACAGTCTCTCTCGCACACACACAGACACGTCTCTCTCACGCACACACACAGACACGTCTCTCTCACGCACACACAGACACAGTCTCTCTCTCATACACACGTCTCACACACACAGACACACACAGACACAGTCTCTCACGCACACACACAGACACGTCTCTCTCACGCACACACAGACACGTCTGAGAATCCGGATTTGTGGGTGGAGGAGCGGCCCAGACGGCCTCGCCCCGCCGAGTTCACACCCCCAGGCCGCGCGTGCTGACGCCGGCAGCACTCGCGAGATCTCACAACAAAACAATATCCGACGGAAATCACAAGAAAGAAAGAAACACTCAACACATTTGTCAATAACAGGGTGGCCTTAGGAGGGTACACATATATACAGGGTGGCTCAAAATTCAGGACACATCGGATTATTTCATTTCACCACTCGAATTTAACACATTTAATTATTTATTATTTAAGTTCCTATTTTATTTATTGTCCTTACGAATATATATATGTTTCTACTTTTTTAGATGACATTTAAAAATGGAATGAAAATCAACGAAATACAAATGAGTTCAATTTTTTTTACATGTATGCTAAATAAGGGAGCTGTAATCTTTTTAATTGTTAAAGTCTCAAATTTATTTAAAAAAATTATTCATGCATGCATTCATCTGAATGCAAGTCAGATTGAATATTTGTTAAAGAGATCAAATAACCCTATGTTATATTTTACATAAATATAACAACCCCGTGTATCCTGACATCTGGGCCACCCTGTATAATAGGCGACGTTTTGGGAAATGCACCTTCGTTAGCATAAAAAACGAAGAGCTGTTGTGAATCGAGACCGTTTTTCTCTAAAGGGTAACTGTGTATATGGACACGCGTGTGTAGGCGTGCGCGCGCGTGTGTGTGATACCCTAACAGTCCGTTAAAGGCTACGCGGGGGGTCTCTGCCATGACCGATACGCAAGCCGGGCCTTCTTCCCGTTCACCAACCCGCACGGACCAGGGCGGTGAAGTATGGCCAACATCCCCCAAATGACCGCCACGGCGCGGGGAGGCGGATTGGCAAGGCTGTGAATTATTATTATTATATTATTATATTAATGGTGTTGCCTATAATGTTGAAAATACTTTATTAGGTGTGGCATCAGTTTTATAATCAGAAGCGGAACAGCTGACCGTGTTTATAGCGACAGAGAGATAACATTTCAAGCTATAAATCCTGCATTACAATCATATTTGTTGTTTTACTGCGGCAAAGTTGTGCGTGTGTATATGGAGTAGCGCTGAGCGCGCTGCACTACGAGTTGGATCCTCGTTCCCGACCATCATCACCACTGATGATTAACTGAACCGGTCCTGGCCTCCCCTAGTTCAACTCAGTCTCAAATGAGTACCTTGTGCGATGTTTAAACACACCCCCTCGTGTATGTATGTACGTTGAGATTTAGAAGTGCATAGCTCCAGTGTCTTCATAATATCGGAAGGAAGAGCGTTCCAGACGGCCGCAGAAGCGCATCTGAAAGCGCCACGCGATGCGGCGACCGTCTTTGTTTAATGGCCAGCAGCCACTACGATGCCGGGAGTTCGCGTGATGGCTCATGCTCCTTGACGACATCAGCAAGGTGTCGTGGTTCATTTGTGGCAAGCACTTTGTGTGTAATGAGTGCGACCTCATAAAGTATTCGTTATAGGGTCGGGTGCCGTGCTGTGCCGACCTTAAAAGGTCTCCACTAGCAGCACTTGCCCCAACAGTCTGTGCGGACTATACGGGGGATCTCTGTCTTTGTAGGACTCATATTGCAGAATATACTGTACAAATGTCAGCGGAATGAGCTACATATAATGAAATAATGCTGCTACGTCATCACAATTAGGAGCGACACATTTAAACATTTGTTTCACAAGCCGAACTCTGCCGATCAGACACAGATGGTCGAAACCTTCTTGAATAAATGCCGCTGGATAATATCGATGTGGCGAGTCGATGGATTAAAGTAATATTCGTGTTTGTATGTGGAGACAGAATTGGGCTCTTCACACAAACATTTGTCCATGATACACAATGCGATATGTTCTCAGTGTTGGTGTATTTCTGAATTCATGTTGTTTTGTCAACACTGTATACAAAAAATACTAATGTTCTCTTCCAGATGGAACCTGTGCGCTCGTAGCTAATGTTTAACACGCCACCCTTGCAAAATTAAAATAGCAATACATTATTGCATCAGACATTTGTCTTGAAATCTCTCTGCTCATGATATTCTCTGCCCACGCGTCCATTGTATAGATATGTATATACATTAAAAAATAGTACATTGCGTTTATTTAATCACATGTGTACACGTATTCGTTACCTACATGATGCTATCAAATACACACACTGACATTCGTAAGCTTATGTTACAATGCTTTGCTACATGTACCAATTTTTATTGTCAAGACCATTTCTATGGCATTATATATGTCTCTATAACTAGATTACTCATTTGGGATTACATACAGCAGCAGCAACCATCGCCCGCTACTGGCAGACTAATGTCCGCTTGCAGACCAGGTGCTGAGTGACTGCTGCCGCTGGGGGTGCCCTTTCAAATGTGCTGAGATGATGAGATGGTGAGATGTAAGTCGCTTATCGCGCGAGGCGCTTATCGCAAGAGCGAGTGGTAGATTAGCGGGGCGCATGGTGGAACGTGACGATGTCATCGGATGAAGCAGCTGCAATTGTGTACGCAGTGTAGCCCCGGGGCTCAACGCAGGGCGTGTCTTGTTTATAATGAAGCAGGCCAAACGATCTCAAAGGCGATTCATCGTTTGTCTCAAATGAAGTATATTAATAGATGGATATGTGCTCACTTACCCCGGAGAGCCAAGCTGAACTGCACCATGGCTCTTTCAAGATGGCCCTGCTGCTACATTGGGTTCTTATTTTAAAATGTGCTCAGCCAATTAATGATGAGTTGTCTTCATTATACACGTGGGAGGAACCGGGGTACCCAGGGAAAATGCTTCGCGCGAAGGAGCAACGCTCTATCCCCGTGCAGATGGAAACAGATGGAACATTGTCCACTTACTGTACCGCCTCGCCTGGCCAGCCAGGGTCGGGATCTTCCTCGACGCACCCAAGAAGGGCGCTCCACACCAAGAAGGGCGCTCCACACCAAGAAGGACGCTCCACTCAATCTGTGTGTGGTCCACCAGCCCTCGCTGCTGCCTCCACAGCGTTGGGTTACAGGCCGCGTGCGTAGCTACCACTGCGCGACTCACACTTATATATTATCAACACTGTATGTATTAACATACGATATATTCACATTTACATACATGTATACGGTATATAAATTGTGATTATTATGATTGTAGTGATTCTTTTTTGGGTGTAAATGAATCACCCGCACCCCGAGATTATATTTATTAGCGATATTCAGCGTCGCGAATAGATGCAACATTTATTTACTTTTGCTAAATATTGTGGTGAATATAGCGGCCTCTAGCGTCTGTAAAGGCCCGCAACATATAAGCCCACGTAATCGACACAAACGCAACACATTCGTCAATGACACTGCGGCCTTAAAAGGAACAAAGTATAGAGTCGGCGACGTTTCGGGGGCTGGCGCTTCTTCATTGCGCAGAGGCGCCAGCGGAGACCGACAACTCGCGCTGACGACTCGGGCGCCTCGTGAGGAGCGCACACGGAGACTTGCACGCATCTTCTCACGCGCACGCGCACGCACTCGATATAGCTATGTACGTAGAAACGCGTATTTTCATTGTATATATACACACGTGTGTAGTGTATATATGTGTGTGTGTATATGACTATTTACTTTTTTATTTTAAGGCACACTGAACTATATTGCTCTTTTTTCAGAAGCGACCTGACCGCAGATGATAAGCTCAACGGAGCGGCTTATCGCCATGTGGAAATGTATAGCAGCCAAATACTCTAAACGCGTGCTTATATATGTGGAGGGTTAGACCGGAGGACCCGGAGGAGAATCCATGCGACCACGGGGAGCGAGAGACATGTCGACTACAAATCTACAGGCGTCAGGTTCGTGATCGAACCCCCGGCCGCCTGCATCCAGGCAGAATAGTTCTACAGCGGTGAGCGCACTGCGATACAAATCCGGCGACTCGAGTTCGATTCCCGCTGACGGCCAACAACACTTGCCCCAACAGTCTGGTGAAGGCTGCACGGGGGATCTTCGTCCTAACATCGCCACTGCAGATAGAAAGGCGGTCGAGCGTGGTGCTGGCCACACCACCCCCTTGTGTACCGTTCCGGCCGTCAAAGGTGCTCGCTGACAGCACTTGCCCTCACAGCCTGTTGAAGGCTATACGGGGGATATTTGTCTTTGTGGAGGAGGAGGAGGCGTTGATTGGCCTGGCCCCGTTGTCTGTGGGAATCCGACCCCACGAAGCCCGCGCTCCACCGCCACGTGGCGCAGCGCGCGCGCGCTCCCGGGCGCTAAAGTCGCACTAACGACGGCGTGATTCGCTAATTATATCGATTATCCCTCTCGGGGAGAGGCCGAGACCCCACGCCCAGCCACCCACCCACCCATCCCTACCCCAACCCCCCTCAGTCCAGACCCCGCCTCTCTCCTCCTACCCCCCCCGCTCCCCGATCCCATCCCCAGCCGCCCACTCCCTCTTCCACCCCCCTCGCCGCTGGTGTCCAGCCGGGCCAATCCCTGCCGAGGCGTCGGGCGATCAGACACGGACATTGATCGCCTCCGTCTCCCCTCGCGCATTCGGACAGCAGCCGGCTTCACGCGGAGGGAGCTGCTGCTCGGTGTGGGTCGCATCGAGAGTGGAGTGATAGACAGAGAGGAGGGAGCAGAGGGGATAGAGCGCACTTCAGTCATCAACGCGTGTACTGACATGTATACACACACGTACACAGCGTGACATACACACCACATGCATCGGTAATCATACGCGCATCCTGTGCATACACGTGCGCATGTATGTGCATGTGTAATCCACAAGCACACACACGTGTAACCGCACATATACACAACCTGACGCACACACAACCACACGCACACGGCTGAATACCCCGTTACACACGCCGTACACGTAGTGATACACACTCACTGCACACGCACACACATTGTGACACACGCATCGCACACACGAACGCACATTGTGACACTCACACGCATCGCACACACGAACGCACATTGTGACACTCACACGCATCGCATACACGCACGCACATTGTGACACTCACACGCATCGCACGCACATTGTGACACTCACACGCATCGCACACACGCACGCCGTACACCCACTGCAGCACACGCGCACGCCGAACGCCTCAAGGGCGCGCCCCGCGCCTCCCCACGCGCGCGATGGAAAAATCCAAGAATTTCCGCATCGACGCTCTCCTGGCGGACGAGCCCCCCAGAATCCGGCTCCTTCAGGGGGGGCTCTCCCTCTCTGGCGGGGGGCCATACCAGACAATGGGGGGCCTCTCTCCGCCCCGACGGGGCCCCGACAGTCCCCGTGGCATCGTGAGTTGCGCTCACGACTTGCAGCAGCAGCAGCATCAGTCCCGCCTCCACGGCCGCCTCGCCCGGACGCCGTCTCCGCCGTGCGGCGCTGCGGCGGGGGCCCCCCCCCCGGGCCTGCAGCCGCTCCCCCGCGGGGGGCTCGTCCCCAAACCGGGGGTGCTGGGCCTGCCGCACGTGGGGCTGCCGGCCGGCTCCCTGCCGGCGGTGGCGGCCTTCTACGGCTCCCCCGTGTACGGCTACCCGGGCTCCACGCTCGCCTACCCCGCCTTCCCGCACGTGGAGTCGCTCAAGGCGGCGGCCGGAGGCGGCGGCATGCAGGGGGGGATCTCCCTGGAGCACTGGCTGCGCGCCTCGGCGGCCGGGGTGGTGCTGCCTCGCCTACCCGAGTACACGCGCGAGTGGCACACGTGTGAGTACGCGCGGCGTGAGTGACACACACGTGTGAGTACGCGTGGCGTGAGTGGCACACACAAGTGACACACACAAGTGACACACACACGTGTGAGTACGCGTGGCGTGAGTGGCACACACGAGTGACACACACACGTGTGAGTACGCGTGGCGTGAGTGGCACACACGAGTGACACACGCGTGTGAGTACGCGTGGCGTGAGTGACACACACGAGTGACACACACGCGTGTGAGTACGCGTGGCGTGAGTGATAGACGTGAGTGACACACGCGTGTGAGTACGCGCTGTTGTTGATGTTTACACACCGCACCAGGTTGAAGGATGAGTCGACTTTGAGAAGGTCTAAGATGGCTTCTGATATCACTCACCAACGATGACATGCGTGACGGACGGGCGTGGGATCGAACTCAGGTCACCCGCTTCGTAGCGCAATGCGCTAAATACGACGCAAGCGCTCTCCACACACTTAGACACAGAGACGGAAATTCACTGAGACGCGCATCTGCAGCACACGCGCGCGCGAGCACACGTGAGCACACACGTGGGTGTGCTCGACCTCCACACGCACTGAGTAGTCGCACTCGGGTGTCCAGTCACAAGGACACACGCACAGGTAGACTGCCGTGCGAGGGCGTGCGTGTGTGCCTGCGTGTGTGCCCTGCGTGTGTGCCCGCGTGTGTGCTCGCGTGCGCACGCACTGACGGGCACACGGGCATACAGACGCGTGCACACAGATTTGGGGACGCACAAAGGCACCGATCCGTCGTATCGTCTTGTCGAGATGTTTGAGGCAAGTGCTGTTAGCGAGCAGCACCTATGAAGGCCGGGACGGTACACGAAGTGGTGGGTGACCAGCACCACGCCCGACCGCCTTTGTCTCCCTCGCGGAGATGTTTACACATCGCACCAGGTACTCATTTTGAGGCTGGGTCGAGTTGGAGACTGCCCTTTACACAATGGGGCATGATCAGAATAAATAAAATAAAACACGTTTATCAATTAACAGTTTTTTTTTCTTACCTCTCTGTAAGTGTTGCGTAAAAAGCCTTAAATATTGACAATTGTGTTCATACTCTTTGGTTCTTTCGGTAAAGTCACGTAGGTATAAAACAATTTAAATCACGACGTTTGGGGCGCAACACAAGCGTCCGTCATCAGGTGGGACACCCATTGTGGTCCCAGTTCTTTGTAAACAGATGCCAGTAAATCGGTCGTGGCCCTGAATCGCTTTTTGTCGGCTACAACGTCACACTCCCCGGGTGGTGACTACCTCGATCGCTGATGGCGAGACAATTGTACAGTGTGTGTAAGTGTACAGTGTGTGTAAGTGTACAGTGTGTGTAAGTGTACAGTGTGTGTAAGTGTATAGTGGGTGTAAGTGTGTTAATTAATGAGAGCTTTCAACACTCCGCAGCATCATTTTGGAGTCTCAAATTTTAAAGACAAATCGGTGCTCCAAATGTTCCCCGCTGTAAGCGTGGAATCGGCTCCATCTCACCCTATACCTCACCCTATAACTAAACCTATAACTAACCCTATATCTCACCCTATACCTCACCCTATATCTCACCCTACACCTCACCCTATACCTCACCCTATATCTCACCCTACACCTCACCCTACACCTCACCCTATACCTCACCCTACACCTCACCCTATATCTCACCCTAACCCTGTACTTGCGCCAACTGTCCCCTCGCTCGCCCTTCTAGAATGTAATCGTAATGTACCTCCAGAACTCAGTCTCGATGGTGTGTGTTCGCGCAAACAACAGCAACAGCAACAATAAGTCCACGACTATGAACAAGAGAGGCGAGGGGGCTCTGGGAGCACGGTGCCTCCACCTCCGTCTTCGCCGCACCACCCTGAGACGTGGCGGTGGATTTGATGCCGTCGTTGTTGCTGCTGCTGCTGGGGCTGGGTGCATGTTCGCTGCCTGGGCTGGGAGTCTGTTCGCTGCTGGGGCTGGGTGCATGTTCGCTGCTGCTGGGGCTGGGTGCATGTTCGCTGCTGCTGGGGCTGTGTATCTGTTCGCTGCTGCTGGGGCTGGGTGCCTATTCGCTGCCTGGGCTGGGTGTCTGTTCGCTGCTGCTGGGGCTGGGTGTTTGTGCTCTGCCTGGGCTGGGTGTTTGTGCTCTGCCTGGGCTGGGTGTCTGTTCGCGTGGGTGCCATTCCCAGCAGTGATTGTGGAGCAGCCACGGCGAGGCGGCGCTCTGCCGGCAGAGTGCTCGTGCTGGCGAGGGCCGTGCGCGAGTTGAGGGACGCGGAGGTCCTCAGGAGGGCGCGGGGGTTGACTGAGGAAGCGTGGTTTGAGGCGGACGGCAGCCAGATGTGTGTACGTTGAACTTCTTTTGCACCGTACATAGCCAACCGTGCTAATTGGAGGTTCGGAGGAAAGATAACAAATGAAACACAAAAAACCGTTATAAAGAAATGAGTTTTGAATCTAGATGATGTAAGAGTACGTAGCTGCGGTGGCTTCCTAACATCGGAAGGAAGAGCGTTCCAGACGGCCGCAGAGGCGCATCTGAACGTGCGCGATGCAGTGGCCGTCTTTGTTCGATGGCCAGCAGCCAGAAGCCGAAGCGAGGATAACCTGAATAGCATGACCAGATCATGTGGGAGGCCATGGACTGACTCAGACCGATGATCTGAGACATGTCTCACCCGCATCTCATTGATCACACAAAGACAAAGACCCCCGTACAGGCTTAACAGACTGTTGGGGCAAGTGCTGTTAGCGAACACCAATGAAGCCCGGCACGGCACACTAAGGGGTGGTGCGGGCAGCACCACGCCCGGCCCCCTTTGTCTCCCGAGTGGTGATGTTTAGACATCGTACCAGGTACTCATCGGAGTATGAGTACACCAAGGGGAGGCTCAGAACCGGTCCAGGTATTGGTCGTGCTCAGGAGATGCATTTCCTTTGTCTCAGTGGTAGCCAGTGGCAGCATTTGGGAACGATGGACGGTTTTGTGTGATCTGTCATATATATAATAGGCGACGTTTCGGGCAAGAACTATTTCCCGAAACGTCGGGCATTGATGAATGTGTTGATATTCGTGCTTGTGCACCAATGACAACGCAGCTGCAGAAAGCATCAGCAAATAATTGCTGTCTATTCGATGGCCCTGTTGATGTTACAGTCTGTCACTGACACCGTCACTGTGTCTGCCACTCTCATTAGAGGGCTGTGTGCGTGCGTTACTGCCTACGCGTCTATTACAGCTTGCAACGCAGGTATTGCACGTGTACGTCGTATCAGCTACGCATATGATACTATGTACATTCACGTCTCCGTGTAGCGATGTGTAGTTCGCTATGTGTGCGTGATACTGTATGTTGTTGCCTTCACTGAGTAAGGTGCTAGTTAGGGGCGTTTCTTTCCATGCGTAATTCACTATATTTGTATGCATTCTAGTGTGCGATACTGCTATTTACTTGTCAGTCCGTATTATGTGTACGTTATTACGTATCTATGTGTGCGTAAGCCACTGCGCACACCTATATGTGTCTGTGTGTAAACTCCTCTGTGGCATGCAGCATGTCACCGCCGATGTCTTTGTGTTGGTCGGCTCTAGGTATGCGTATTCGCAAGTGCTCGCGAACAGCACTCGCCCCCATGCTCTATTCGGGCACGCGTGGGGTCTTTGTGCCGCTGTGTACTGTGCATGTACTGTGCATGTACTGTGCATGGACTGTGCATGTACTGTGCATGGACTGTGCATGTACTGTGCATGGACTGTGCATGTACTGTGCATGGACTGTGCATGTACTATAGTGCAATAGTGCGGGGGGGGGGGGTGTAAACAAAGTTTAAAGACGATTGATGATGAGTTGTGTTCATTACACACGTGGGAGGAGGCCGGAGCACCCGGAGAAAATTCGTGCGCGTCCGCGGGCAACACCCAAGTGTAATGATTAATACAGTTTAGATACTTTAACTGTATTATGATAACGGAGACTTACATGCAATCAATGCTACTTCCAGAAATTATTTCCCCGCCCCCCACGAATTGGTGCTGCTCTCTTCGCCACCGACGTTCCGCATCTGCCCCCTTCACCAGGGCCGCTTCCCTTACTCCTCCATCGAACGCAACTCAACAGCTGAGAATCGGCCGCCACGGCGTGCGCGTCGAGCACGAGTCGCGGCGACTCTCCCGGCACCTGAAATGGGCATTCCACATTCCTACGGCGGGGGCGAGTCTCGCCATAGGACAACTACTGTTGACCTCCCCGCAGAGTGGTCACGTGCTTTTCATTGACACCCAGACGAAGGAAGGGAGGGATGACGGGCTGAGTCAACCCACCCAACCAGGGTTTGAACTCGCGACCTACCACGTGGCCGGTGACTCTGTACACGCGAAGCAGATGTACGGGTTGTGTCACGTGTATGTATGTAGTTGTGTATGTATAGATGTTGAACTTCTTTCGCACCGTACGTAGTCACCCGTGCTAATCGGAAGTGCGGGGCGAGGGACAGCAAGCTAACCACAAAAGAGCAGTTCTGAATAAATTAATTTTGAATCTAGATATAAAAAAGTGGAAGCAAGAGCGTTCCAGACGGCCGCCGAAGCGCTGTGGCTGCCTGGAGCTGTCAGCTGCACCTACTCAAATAGACACGTGGCACACATTCGGGAAGGCGCGTCTGCCGAAACGTCAGCTCGGATGAAACGTTTTAGTGTCTCAATACGTGCAGTGTAAACGATAACGGTGATATTATAACGATATTGTCGTGATTAACTTGTATAAGCATTGTGCCGTGTATATGTCTACTTCCGAGGTATACTGGTTGTTGTATCACTGGTGATCTGGCTACATCACTGGTTACGCGACCCGTAATATGGTTAAACACTCGTTATAGCCGTAGACAAAATGTAAAACAGGAGTGGGCCTGCACATTGTCCATCCACTGCTGGATGAAGGCCTCCCTAAGGCAGTATTGGTCACCGGGGTTATATAACCACGCTGGCCAGAGTGCTCTTTGACTAAGAAACTATTGGCTTAGACCGGCTCAGGCATCATGTGCCACTGATGTTAGCCGCGAGCGGCAATTGAGCTCAGGAATATAGCCGGGTTCATTGCACAGTGCGCTAACCACTGCGCCACCGCTCCCCGTGCACTGCTCGGGGCTCGCGAACGTTGTGAAGAGAGAGCGGTGGCGCAGCGGTTGGCACACTGCGTGACGAGTGATACCGGAACCGTTTGTGGGTCTCGCATAGGTCGACTCAGCCTTAAATAAACACTTTGATGTGGCGTGTGAACATCAACACTGGGCAAACAAAGACAAAGGCGGCCGTGCGTGGTACTGGCCACGCCATCCCCTCATGGCGCGCTGGTCTTAATAGGTGCTCGCTAACAGCACAAATAGCCTCCTCCAGCTGAACGAGGGCTATTCATCTGTGGGTGCTGTTGACAAAGAAGACGCTCACCGTGGAGATGGAGCGATGAGAGCCACTAGATATGCAGGGGCAAGACTGACGGTAGCAGCAACACTGCACCGTGATGGATGGCGACAGTGTGGCGAGGCCTTCATCCAGCAGTGGATAAACACTGGCTGATGAGGTGACGATTATGCTGATGATGTGTGCGTGTGTGTGCAGCCCAGGTGCAGGCCAGCCTGCTGGGCAAGTGCCGTCGGCCACGCACAGCCTTCACGTCTCAGCAGCTGCTGGAACTGGAACATCAGTTCAAGCTCAACAAGTACCTGTCCCGGCCCAAGCGATTCGAGGTGGCGACGTCGCTCATGCTCACTGAGACACAGGTGAGATACAGCTGAGACGCCTCTCATGGTCACTGAGACACTGGTGAGACGCACCCAATTATCACTGAGACACAGGTGAGACGCCTCTCATGGTCACTGAGGCACAGCTGAGACGCATCTAATTAACACTGAGACACAGGTGAGATGCCTCTCAAGGTCACTGAGACACAGCTGAGACGCCTCTCATGGTCACTGAGACACAGCTGAGACACAGGTGAGACACAGCTGAGACGCCTCTCATGGTCACTGAGACACAGGTGAGACGCCTCTCATGCTCACTGAGACACAGGTGATACACAGCTGAGACGCCTCTCATGGTCAGTGAGGAACAGCTGAGACACAGGTGAGACGTGCGTCATGATCACTGAGGTTGAGGTCTGGTTCTGGTTCGTCTTGTTTCAGGTTTAATTCGGCACGTGGCAATTCGCTCAGCAGCTCGATGCCAATATTGAGGTCTGCTGGCCATGGCGAGAGGGGGGGGAGAGAGAGATATTTGTTATTCTTCCTTTGACAACTCGTGCAGGCCACAGTGGTTGACGTTGTGGTCCAGAGTTTGTGTTGTGTGGCCATCATCTCCCCACTGTGGCTTGTCATCAATGTTCTGTTCATGAACGAGACGTGTGCATCGATCTGTTGATGTCCTGATGCGGTTGATGGCTCCACCGCTGTCATCGAGGAGGAATGTCCACGCCAGGAGGTGGGACGATGTTTGGTCCGCGTTGTTCCACTCTGTTCGCACAGCAGCCTTCTTCCGGATGTGGGTGATATTCTAGGATAGTGACAGCAGCAGCACAACCATCGAGCAGTTTTGTGTAAGAGTTCTAGGACGCGGCTGGAGGGAATTGACTCTGAGTTAATCATCAGCTGAGGTGCCCCCAGGTCGTTCCTGTGAGTTTCTATAGCAGGGAGATTCTTGATTTGATCTTTTAACAGTTATATATTTTAGTGTGGATCGAAGGTCAGGCTTCTGTCCATGATAACATCTCGATATCCACTCTCACGTGTTTTCATGTTAACATGAACGTAAAGAATACCATCATCTAGGTGAAACGAACGCCCTTAGATATGGTAAAGTTGGTTTACATGTGGCTCATATAGATTTTGATGTGGTTCACACGACGTTTAGATTCACTGATGATGCAGGTTGAGGATCGGTGTGGTGCAAATGGAGATCTGGTCTCGGAAATCTGTAAAAAAGGACTTGATATCTCATCTGATTTCTCCATTATAAATAAAGATTCTGGTCCAGATTCTGAGATATGAATCTGCTACTAACCCCGTTCCCGCCGGCCCTGCAGGTCAAGATCTGGTTCCAGAACCGGCGCATGAAGTGGAAGCGAAGCAAGAAGGCGCGCGAGCAGCAGGCGGGGGGCGCGGACAAGGGCCCCCGCGGGGGGGGCCCCGCCGCCTCCGCGGGGGGCGGCGGCAAGGAGCGGGCCCAGGGCAAGGGGACGCCGCCGGGGCCCGGCACCCCCTCAGCCTCCGAGGCGTCCAAGGAGCGCGGCGGGGTGACGAGGGGAGCCCCGGCTCTGGGAGCCGCGTGCGGCGAAGGGGTCCGAGGCGAGGAGAGCCGGGGGGCCGAGGCCCGCGCCGGAGCTCGCCCGGGGGCGCCGTCCCCCGCAGCGTCGCCCTCCGTGGACGGAGACGACGAGGAGGAGGAGGATCTGGAAGACGACGAGGATGAGGAGGAGGAAGAGGAGGAGTACGAGGAGGAGGAGAGGGTGGGCGCGATCCGGGCTCGCTCGCCGCTGCTGTGGGGCGAGCAGGAGGAGCTGTCTATAGGGCCGCTGGCGCAGGCGGCTCCGCGCCTCTACTGAGAGATTTGGGGGGGACCAGTGGCGATTCTCTGGGGGGCCGCGTGAGGGGGGCACGCACCCTCCCCCCGACTCCCTTCCGTGTACCCCCCCCCCCCCCAATGCCTAAGTGGCTCCTCCGGGCGGCTGGGGAGGCACTCGAGCAAACGAGGCCATCACGGACAATGAAGTTGATGTCATCACCACACCTCGCTCGGCATCGCTTCCTTCCTCCTGCCACATCCAGCAGCAGCAGAAGCTGCCGAGCCCGGACCTCCAGGTTGAGCTCTTCCTCTGAGAGTGTCCCCCACGCCAAGTGGGCCTGCTCAAGGGGCTCTGGACTCGCCACTGTTGTGAGTGTGGAGGGGCCCCAGAGACGTTGACTGCTCACTCGAGACAGGAGACGGCGGCTGAGGATCCGCGAGGGTTGGACAGCGCTGCTTACTGTACATACGGCAGTATACATACACAGTATATGTACAGTACAGAGCGCGTGCATGTGTGCGCAGTGCACGCGTCGTGTGCGTGCGTCAGAGGTGCGCGCGCTCTTCATTACTCGGACGCGATCCACGGGACCTGCTGTGGCAGGACACACGTGCACACCTACAGCTCGCTACTTCGACGGTACATGGGGTTTCTCGGGTTGTACCACGCGTTGTTCGGCACGATGTCCGACGTTTCGCCTATCCGTGGGAAATTGGTTCAGTTGAGAACAGCACGCGTTGCAACGCGAGATCAGATCGCAGCGCCAGTGGTGGTCGTCACGTGAGAACGAACTCTGGAAGATTCGTGACGCTGCGAGAATCTCTGACTGGGCGCCCGCGCGCACGAGCCCCGACACTGGCCCGCAACCACGTGGGACGCTTCCTGCCGCTGTTTAGCTCCGGCCAGGATGACGAACATGCGACGCGGACAGCAACAAACAGCACCAATACAATAAATTGTGTCTGAGAGTGAAAACGTTTCACGCATTCGCCAAAGCACGTGGACGAGGTGAAGTTGAACAGCTCATTCCTCCCAGGCCACACATTCACTTCCATTCAAATACAAACAAATTCAGTCCTTACATGCCTCACGAGCCTGATGATTGCTAAACACAGATAACGATCCCCGTATAGCCTCTAATAAACTGTTCGGGACAGGTGCTGTTAGCGCACCTGTGAAGGCCAGCACGTCACACAAGGGGGTGGGTGGCCAGCATTACGCCCGACCGCCTTTGTTTCCCCAGTGACGATGTTTACAAACCGCACCAGGTACTCGTTTGAGGCTGAGTCGATCTAGAGCAGGTCCAGGTTCTGAGCTCAGCCGTCTAACCACTGCGCCACCGTTCCCCCGTTGGTTGCTCAAGACTCCCCAAGTGACACACGCGCACACACACACGTACACACACACACACGCACACACACACAGGTACACACACACGTACACACAAACGTACACACACGTACACACACACGCAGAAGGCCTCCATAGCTATGTTAATTATCACTCTGTGGGTCATGTGGGACGTGTTTAAACATCATCAGACGCGTGCAGTGTGTGACGACTGAATATCAAGTTTTAGAAGCGCGTGAACTTGGTGAAGGCGCGGTGGGTCGCGAGCACTCGGGTCCTGCTGGCTCGGAGCAGTTGCCACTGAGAGCCACCCTCGATGACGTGACGGTGATGACGATGATGATGATGGCACCGCGATGATTGTGATGTTTCTTCGATGCTGCACTTTCCGTCTTGTTCGTTTACACGAAATCGCCACGGGTCGGATCACCACTCTCAGCAACAGCGTTACCAGCGGGGGGAGGGGGAGATGGAGGGTGGGGGTGTACAATACGTGAAATGTAAACAAAACGTACAGTGAGCTAGTCTTATTGCTATCGCTAATATACATGTGTGTGTGTACAATGTAGGCTATACGGGGACCTGTGCATATTTTATTTTTTATATCTTATTTAAGTGAATGTATTCGCGTTGGATTACGGTGTGCATGTTGTGTTGTCGTCTCCCCCTGCAAGTCACCGCCACCAGCACCACCACCGCTCGCGACGGGAATCCACGCGGCCAGATCCACGGCCACGCGAATCGGGGGGCACTCTTCCAAAATCACCCCCCCCCCCTGCACCCCCCCGTCCATTGCCGGTGATAGAACGGGTACAAGCGCACGTACACCGCGGAGATGGAACGCTGAAACCGGTTCATGTGCAGGCTGAACTGAGACGGATCGCGAGAGCGTGGGGAGGGCGACCTTCATCCAACAGTTGATTGACAACGGCTGCTGCTGCTGCTGATTACGGTGTTCGCTGGTGATGTTGAAGAGGAGAAATCGTCAAGTTTTCGTGAAACATCGAACGGACAAGGCCCCGCGCGCCGCGCCACGCGGGGCCCAGCGCGGCGCGCACAGAGAGCGCGTGGTGGCACCGTGCGGCACACGGCTTGTGTGGGTACAGGTGTGTGTGTATATATATGTGATGTGGTACACAGGTGTGTGTGTGTGATGTGGTACACGAGCAGGTGCGAAACCTCATAGCTACAAGCCACGGACACAACACCGGTGAGACATGGCGACTTACTCGTTGCCATTCGTTCTCCCGACGCGGCAGCCGTGGGTAGATCTCCACTCCCCCCGTCTCTGCACCCAGCAGCATGCATGGGTCACCACCATCGGTCGGTATGTCGCGAGCGGTGGGGTAAAGTGTGGGTACTTCCACATCTTCGAAGACGTCTTAGCCAGCGCGCCGGAGCCCGCCGGTATCGCCGTTCCTCTGTGGGGCCCTTCCGCCAACAGTGACGCGAGCGAGCAACTGCAGCGCTGCGCCTTCACATTATTCTAATAAAACATGTTTCTCCTTCGTCTCAAGCGCTGTGTCCTGCATGCGTTTGTCCTATTTATGTACCATGAAGAGGGGCCATTGTCCCGATCGTCGCCTATTACTTGTTTGATGATTTAGAGGCTACACACATTGCTTGTGCACCACTGCCAACGCCGTTGTAGCAGCAGCACCAGATGCATTGTTTCGCACAGATACATTGTAGAACATGTTTATTGTAAATTAGATGTGTATATAAGTTTAGCTGGTACAATACATTTCCCCAAAAAAACTTTTATCACAATGAACAAAAGGCAAAATGTATAAACAGGTTTCGCTCGCTCTATGCGGTAGCAGGAGATGCGGTTGTAGTAGGTGCGGTAGTAATAGTAGTAGTTGGGGTAGTTGTAGTACACACAGCACATACACAGTACACACACAGTACATACAGCACATACACAGGACATACACAGTACACACAGTGTATAGTCCACACAGGACATACACAGTACATACACAGTACACACAGTACATACACAGTACATACACAGTACACACAGTACACAGTCCACACAGGACATACACAGTACATACACAGTACATACACAGTACACACAGTACATACACAGTACATACACAGTACACACAGTACACAGTCCACACAGGACATACACAGTACACACCGTACATACACAGGACATACACAGTACATACACAGTATATACACAGTACACACAGTACATACACAGGACATACACAGGACATACACAGTACACACAGTACATACACAGTACATACACAGTACACACAACGTTGTCCCACGTCCGGCCACACAGCACGGAGAGGGGAAAGGGGCTGGAACTGACGAAGCGAAGGGGATGCAGTTTTTAGAGCGGTGGTTCTAAAGTGCACTGGGAGGGGGGGGGGCACCCCCCAATCGAGGCCACTGCCCCCCTCACCCCTCAATACACACAGAGGTCACGTGCCCACGCCTCTCGTCAACGTGATGAAGGCACCACCGCTCACATGTACCGTTTGACCTCAGTGGGGTGGCAAGTGGAGTCGTTGCACGCTGCTCGTGCCCGGTGTGTGCGAAACATCCCACGTGACGCGCAGGCTGCCGTGTCAAATGGACGTCTTCGTGTGCCAGTCCCACGTGGCCTGTACGTTACATCAATGTTAGTCAATCGGCGTGCAGTATAATACCTCAGGAGGTTCCCGCACTGGGGAAGGTTGATCAATTTCGTTAATTCGTGTTTGTGTTCCCGTGGGAGGATATCGGAGAATCCGGAGTATAGGAGGGGGTGACACTGATAACTCCGCACGGATAGATTTAAGTATCCACCACCTCTCGGGCCCCAATTCTGCAATTGTCAGCCTACAATTGTTCAGCAATGTTTGACAACACCAGTGACAGTACGGTCCGTGTGTGTGTGTCAATGACAGTACAAACCGTGTGTGTGTGTGTGTCAGTGACAGTACGGTCCGTGTGTGTCAGTACGGTCCGTGGTGTGTGTCAGTGACAGAACGGTCCATGTGTGTGTCTGTCAGTGAGTCGAGCGTCCTGGGGCACGGCTGTGACCCAGAGCTTTGGATGGAGGGTTGGTGGATCACGTGATATTCCCTATCCAGGTACCCTAAGCCCTACCCAGGCACCAGGCTCAGACCTGCTCAGCTTCCAAGACCCAAGGAGGTCAGGCGAACTCAGGTGGGGTTTTGTGTCGCAGGTCTGTGGGTGTGTGTGAGTGCGCGTGTGTGGGTCCGCGCGTGTTCCTACAGCGGCAGTGTAGTGGCGAGCGCACTGCGCTACGAAGCTGGTGACCACTCGCGGCCAACATCAGTGACAAATGTTTGAATCGGTTACGGGATTCCCCTAGATCGACTCAGCCCTAAACGAGTACCCGGCGCGATGTGTCAATACCAGCACTAGGCAGGGAAAGGCGACCGGGCGTGGTTGTTGCCGTGCCACCCTCTCTTGCGTCCTCCATCCCTTGTACGTGCGTGTGTTGAACGTCTTTCGCACCGTACGTAGCCAACCCTACGAAAAGGCGCCTGCAAAGGAAACTTGCCCCACCAGCTTGCGTAGGCTATACGGGGGATCTCTATCTTTGTTCGCGCTGATTCTCCGCAGGCGGAAGCGGCGAGTGTGGGCGCCCGAGAGGATAATGAGGAGGACGCGATTGGAATTTAGCGCCGAGTCGTCAAAGTCGCTCTAGGTCAGAGCGCCACCTCTCCCGGCCCACCGGGCGAGGAGGGGAGGGGGTGGGATCAAGGGGGGGGGGGGTGGAGGGGGGTGTTGGAGGCTTGGAGCCGGCAATCTGGCGAGACAAAGGGGGCTCCTCGAGCCAGTTGATCTGCGAGCACGTGGACAAACAGGGCGATTTCTCCGCTCGCCTGTCGCTCTCATCAACGCCCGCGCACTCTTTCTGTAAGTCTGCGCGACTATATATACAGTATATACATTTAGACACACAGTATATACAGTTAGACACACTGTATATATATATATATATACACAGTATATACAGTTATAGTGCGCGCATACTCATAACATACCGACACGTCGCTGCACCAAAGGCAATTCTCAAATAAAAAGCTTCAGAAACAAAACAAAAGCGACTGGGCAACATGCTGGCGCGGTAGTTGAAGTAGTTGTGCAGGCGCTCGGACGCGCTTTGGTTCCTAAATGGACAACGACAAACCCGTCCAGCTCGTACCGCATGTTGCTACTCCAGAGGGCAGAGACCCGCCATAGGAATGTGGAATTTCCACCAATGTCTACAGGGCTGTAAGACGGGAGATGGGCACCATCTGAGCCTAGAAAGCGCTCAGATTGGCGCGCGTTGTTTGGCTTCCGAGAGAGCGCGCAGAGCGCATTCCTCGCGGCGGGCTGGTGGTGGTGGTGGAGGAGGCTTTGCTTTTGGCGCAATTAGGGCAAAGTTAAACTTCCATCAGCGCGGCCCCCGTGTGTGTGTGCGTGCCTCCGTGTGTGTGTGCCCCCGTGTGTGCGTGTGTGTGCCCCCGTGTGTGCCCCCGTGTGTGCCCGCGTGTGTGCGTGTGTGTGTGTGCCCCCGTGCGTGTGTGCGTGTGTGTGTGCCCCCGTGCGTGTGTGCCCCCGTGCGTGTGTGCCCCCGTGTGTGTGTGTGTGTGCCCCCGTGTGTGTGTGTGTGCCCCCCCGTGTGTGCCCCCGTGTGTGTGTGCCCCCACGTGCGTGCCCATCGCGCGCCGCAGCGCCGCCTCTGCGCTCGCGTGTGCCCGAGAGGGGCCGCGGGTTGATGTGTCTCCAGGCGCGTTGCGCACAGATTCGTGAGCGGCTGTAACTTTACAGGCGCCCTCCCCTCTCCTCGGTGGCTGTTTGTTTGGTGCCATTTTCTGTGATTGTCCCCCCCATACCCCCAGCACCCCCACCCCTGGTAGAGGTGCAGCCCTGCAATTTCTTACCGCTGCTGACGAAGAGCCTCCGCTCAAGACGTCTTGAAAGAGGAGGGAGCACCCACACTTTACCCCAACACACGCGACCCGCCGACCCACTCACGGTGGTGGACTCATGTATCTACTCGCCCTAAAGGGAATACAAGATAGAACAGGCGTCGTTTCGGGCGAATGACCATTCTTCACAGCACATGAATCAAACAGCGCTCTATGGAGAAGGGTGATTGCCCGACACGTCGCCTATTGTTTTCATTTTAAGGCCACGGTGTTGTTGACGAACGCGTCGAGTCGGTGTCGCTGGCTCTGCTTGTGCACCGCTGCCAACGCAGCAGCAGCGGCAGCGCCGGGCGATTTGAACGCCGGAGAGGAATCTGGGGATGAAGTTTTGCATCTCCGCATGTGGCGATACTCGCTGAACTGTACTCACAACACGGTGAATCGATTCTTACGCTCACAGTACATGCATTCACATCGTCTGTAAAATCATCGATCATTTGTCGCTAGTTGATGTTACAAGTACAGTAGTTGGCTGCCGTTATCCGTACAGCCACTAGAGCCACGGCATTCACAGTGATGAAGACAATCCCATTAAGGATCGATTTGTTGAAGTGAAACGGTGACTCCGGATCGCTAAGAAGAGACGGTATCTCCTGAGCTCTCTGCCGCGTGTGTGTGTAAGTGTGTGTAAGTGTGTGTGTGTAAGTGTAAGTGTGTAAGTGTGTGTGTAAGTTTGCGTGTAGGTGTGTGTGTGTAAGTGTGCGTGTAAGTGTGTGTAAGTGTGTGTGTAAGTGTGTGTGTAAGTGGGTGTAAGTGTGTGTGTAAGTGTGTGTGTAAGTGTGTGTGAGTGTGTGTGTAAGTGTGTGTGTAAGTGTGTGTAAGTGTGTGTGTAAGTGTGTGCAAGTGTGTGCAAGTGTGTGTGTAAGTGTGTGTGAGTGTGTGTGTAAGTGTGTGTGTAAGTGTGTGTGTGTAAGTGTGTGTGTGTAAGTGTGTGTGTAAGTGTGCGTGTAAATGTGTGTGTAAGTGTGTGTGTGTGTAAGTGTGTGTGTAAGTGTGTGTGTAAGTGTGTGTAAGTGTGTGTGTGTAAGTGTGTGTGTAAGTGTGTGTGTAAGTGTGTGTGTGTAAGTGTGTGTGTAAGTGCGTGATCTACAGTTGCCACCTGTCTTTGTTTCCCAAGGATCGTCGTCGTCGTCGTGCTGAGTGGGGCAGCTGCTGCCCTGGTGAGTCTGTCGCTCTTCCCGAGACATTCACAGTCCCGGGGGTATTTGTCACACGCGAAGTGACAATACCAATAATACCGCCCGTACACATCCACTCAAGAACAACGCACTCGCGGTCAGTGCTCCCCTCTGCTGGTATCGCGAGCGATTATTGTCCCCCCATGAGATGTTCCGGTTTGTTTGGTACCTCGAAAGGTAGCGCCCCCCCCCAAGACACCGCAGATGTGAGGCCTCGGAACAACTGCGCCCCTACCCCGCAGCCACCTTTACCCTGCCCCCTCTGCGCCCCCCTCCCTCCCTGCCTCCCTCCCTTCCTCCCTCCCTCCCTCCCTCCGTGTGCTTGCCGGGCCCGTGGCACCACTAATGGCGGTGAATGTTTGGTGGCAATCTGGGAACGCGGAGCAGCCGCGTTCCCTCGTTGCTCGCGGGGCGCCAGGAGGAGGAAGCACAGACGAGGAGCGGGAGGGCAGCAGGAGCAGCCACGCAGCGACGAGCCGGCGCCAACCGCCCAAGCTCTGTGGTCCTCTATATATGAAGGTGTCATCGGCCAATGAGTGGGGGGGGGGAGCCGGAGCACGGAGGGGGAGGAGTCGCGGGGACGAGCCCAGCCGCGTGCTCACTCGCGCCACGTGATGCGAGTGGGTGGTGGGGGTGGTGGGGGTGGTGGGGGTGGTGAGGGTGGTGAGAGTGGTGGGGGTGGTGGGGGTGGTGAGGGTGGCAAGATTAGTGGGGGTGGTGGGGGTGGATGGGGTGGTTTGCTGGAGTAAATCAATTCGGAGACGCCCTCGATAGGACGACTCCCGCGGAGATGGAGCGGTGGGATCAGATTACGCGCAGGAGCGAGGTGGATTGTCGCGCAGCGCAGCACCGTGTGGGATGTTGACGGCGTCGGGAAGCCATCATCCATCGGTGGATAGATCATGGCTCATGATTTGAATGATGCGGTGAGGCTTTAATCCATCAAGCAGTGTTATAAACGACGCATATGTTCTGTATGTTCCTAATATATACCGCGATATGATAACGTTACGAGTCATCATACTACATCTCCAAGGGCAGAGGGAAGATTGTGCGTGCGAGTGTGCAGGGGGAGAGGCGGTGATGGTGTTGGTGGTGATGGTGTTGGCGGTGATGGTGTTGGCGGTGATGGTGTTGGCTCTGATGGTGTTGGCGGTGATGGTGTGAGTGATGGGAGTTGGCGCACGACGTCACCCCCCTCGCCCACCTGGGCCCGATATCATTCACCACTAAGTGGCGGTGACGTCACCACGACGCTTGTGCCAGGCCATGTGCACCTTGAGGCCACGTGAAGTGTCGAACACCCCCGCTTGCAGGTCATGGGGCAGACCCAGGTGCCACGGGTCGACTGACTGAGATGACCGAGATGACTGGCTGATGCACCACCTGTGCCCCCTACTGTGCCAGCTGTGCTTTAGCCACCTGGCGTTCCCTCCGTTGTTGTTGGCGGGCGACTGCCTCCAACTGCCCAGTAGCGTCCTTCACGAGCCTCCTCCACAGATGCCGATCTTGACACCGCTGGTACCAGTCATCGTCCCGATACCCCCCCCTCACGCGCACGCGGCGCAGCCCCTCCCCACGCAGCCCCTCCCCCCCACGCAGCCCCTCCCCACGCAGCCCCTCCCCACGCAGCCCCTCCCCACGCAGCCCCCCCTCCCCATGCGGCCCCTCCCCGCGCAGCCCCCGCCCCCACGCAGCCCCTCCCCCCCACGCAGCCGCTCCCCACGCAGCCCCCCCTCCCCATGCGGCCCCTCCCCACGCAGCCCCTCCCCCCCAGGCAGCCCCTCCCCACGCAGCCCCCCTCCCCACGCAGCCCCTCCCCACGCAGCCCCCCTCCCCACGCAGCCCCCCTCCCCACGCAGCCCCTCCCCACGCAGCCCCCCTCCCCACGCAGCCCCCCTCCCCACGCAGCCCCTCCCCACGCAGCCCCCCTCCCCACGCAGCCCCCTCCCCACGCAGCCCCCTCCCCACGCAGCCCCCCTCCCCACGCAGCCCCTCCCCATGCAGCCCCCCCTCCCCACGCAGCCCCCCCTCCCCACGCAGCCCCCCCTCCCCACGCAGCCCCCCCTCCCCACGCAGCCCCTCCCCACGCAGCCCCCCTCCCCACGCAGCCCCCCTCCCCACGCAGCCCCTCCCCACGCAGCCCTTCCCCCCACACAGCCCCCCCTCCCCACGCAGCCCCCCCTCCCCACGCAGCCCCCCTCCCCACGCAGCCCCCCTCCCCACGCAGCCCCCCTCCCCACGCAGCCCCCCTCTCCACGCAGCCCCTCCCCACGCAGCCCCCCTCCCCACGCAGCCCCCCTCCCCACGCAGCCCCTCCCCACGCAGCCCCCCTCCCCACGCAGCCCCCCTCCCCACGCAGCCCCTCCCCACGCAGCCCCCCTCCCCACGCAGCCCCTCCCCACGCAGCCCCCCTCCCCACGCAGCCCCCCTCCCCACGCAGCCCCCCCACCCCACGCAGCCCCCCCTCCCCACGCAGCCCCTCCCCACGCAGCCCCCCTCCCCACGCAGCCCCTCCCCACGCAGCCCCCCTCCCCACGCAGCCCCCCCTCCCCACGCAGCCCCTCCCCACGCAGCCCCCCCTCCCCGCGCAGCCCCTCCCCGCGCAGCCCCCGCCCCCACACAGCCCCTCCCCACGCAGCCCCCCCTCCCCACGCAGCCCCCCCTCCCCACGCAGCCCCTCCCCACGCAGCCCCCCTCCCCACGCAGCCCCTCCCCACGCAGCCCCCCTCCCCACGCAGCCCCTCCCCACGCAGCCCCCCTCCCCACGCGGCCCCCCCTCCCCACGCAGCCCCCCCTCCCCACGCAGCCCCCCCTCCCTACGCAGCCCCCCTCCCCACGCAGCCCCTCCCCACGCAGCCCCCCTCCCCACGCAGCCCCTCCCCACGCAGCCCCCCTCCCCACGCAGCCCCCCTCCCCACGCAGCCCCCCTCCCCACGCAGCCCCTCCCCACGCAGCCCCCCTCTCCACGCAGCCCCCCTCCCCACGCACCCCCTCCCCACGCAGCCCCCCTCCCCACGCAGCCCCCCTCCCCACGCAGCCCCTCCCCCCCAGGCAGCCCCTCCCCACGCAGCCCCCCTCCCCACGCAGCCCCTCCCCACGCAGCCCCCCTCCCCACGCAGCCCCCCTCCCCACGCAGCCCCTCCCCACGCAGCCCCCCTCCCCACGCAGCCCCCCTCCCCACGCAGCCCCTCCCCACGCAGCCCCCCTCCCCACGCAGCCCCTCCCCACGCAGCCCCCCTCCCCACGCAGCCCCCCTCCCCACGCAGCCCCTCCCCATGCAGCCCCCCCTCCCCACGCAGCCCCCCTCCCCACGCAGCCCCCCCTCCCCACGCAGCCCCCCCTCCCCACGCAGCCCCTCCCCACGCAGCCCCCCTCCCCACGCAGCCCCCCTCCCCACGCAGCCCCTCCCCACGCAGCCCTTCCCCCCCACACAGCCCCCCCTCCCCACGCAGCCCCCCCTCCCCACGCAGCCCCCCTCCCCACGCAGCCCCCCTCCCCACGCAGCCCCCCTCCCCACGCAGCCCCCCTCTCCACGCAGCCCCTCCCCACGCAGCCCCCCTCCCCACGCAGCCCCCCTCCCCACGCAGCCCCTCCCCACGCAGCCCCCTCCCCACGCAGCCCCCCTCCCCACGCAGCCCCTCCCCACGCAGCCCCCCTCCCCACGCAGCCCCT